GAAAAGCTGTCTGATCACAAAGGTTAAGCACAATGCCTTCTTATCTTGGGGTACATTTTATATGCCTGTACTTGTTCTCTTTTGTTTCCACCATTTTGTAGGATAGCCAGTGCAGGCTGGGCTGTAACTTGGAAGATTCAAACGTGGTTCCCTGCTTGGCCCACAAAACTCCATGGGTGACCCCGGGCCAGTCAGTCTTCCTCCTTGTGATCTACCTCGGAGAGCTGTTGTGAGGATACAATGGGGAGGAGAACAGTCATGGATGCAACCTTCAGTTCATTTGGGGGGTGGGGATGGAGAGAAGCAGGTCATAAATCTAACTAACCAAGAAGCAAACACTACTAATGCAATTTAGTGTTTAATAATCTGATATCCTTACAGAGCGATAAAGCTCTTTAACTTTTTACACGTTAATTTGGAAAAATACTTAATGGGGAGCTTTTTAAAAAGGAATCTTACTGAATTTCAATATAGTAAGCTTATACCGTGTTTCCCTGAAAATAAGACAGGGTCTTATATTAATTTTTGCTCCAAAAATCACATTAGGGTTTATTTTCAGGGGATGTTTTATTTTACAGTCATGTCATCTTCTGGTTGCTGCACAATGCTGTACAATGGTGGAAGACAGGGTTTCACTTAACTAGGGCTTATTTTGCGGGTAGAGCTTATATTGCGAGCCTCCTGAAAAACCACACTAGGGCTTATTTTCAGGTTACGTCTTATTTTGGGGGAAACAAGGTATATAGCAATAGCAAATTAACCTACTAATCTTTCCTTGCAGAGAACACCATCATTCAACACACAGATGCAAAAGAAGTCAAGCATGAAAAAAACAGTGCTTTGCTCAAACACACCACCAACACATCTGGAATCAGAGCACGAGAAATCCAGCATGCAAGCACAGAGAGCACAAACAGAGTTGAAATTTACATTGCAGAATAGCTTTTGTGTCATTTGCTTTCTCTGAGAATCTGCTAACCATATTGGCAAAGTTATCTATACCAAACACTGCAGGTGTGTTTTTTAAAATGTTGCATACCTGTTTTTTTTTCAACCACCCTTCCACCCCTAGAAATCAAGATAAAGGTGCCTCCTACTAGCACACATTAAAGTAAGCCTGATTACTCCCTTAATTGTCAACCTTAGGGCCCAATTAGATGTGATGGTGGCAGACTGATCTTAAAATGTAGACCTGGCGCAAGGCTGTTAGAGGGAAAAAATGAAAGCTTGAAAGTGTGATCAGCCCTTACTCTACTATCACCCTTTGCTCCTGCAACTACTCTGCCATTCTTCTTGCTTTTTTTCTCTCCTTGTTAGAATCTGAAACCCCAGTGGGGAAAACGCAAGTGGAGACAAAAGCACAGAGCAAGGCAGGGTTCAGGATCCTTGCCCCCTTCTGAGAGTGTTCTTTTTCTTCCTCTGCTACTCTAAACTGCCCATCTCATTCCCTGATTCCACAATGAGTGGCAGCTTGTGGTCCAGATATGAAGGGCAGAGGATCGTGGGATAACAGGCTGCCTATGAGTGCAGCACTCTCTAACAGGGGCCATTCCACTTTTATCTCCAGTTGATTACTCATTTCTCCAGTATTCTGACAGCTCACTTGGAAGTAAGTCCCACTATATCATGTGAAACAATGCAAGTATGGAGAGGACCAAGTCCTTAGGTTGTAATCCTAAACATACAACTAGCAGCCACTGGAATTCACTTCTGAGTAAACATGGATCAGATGGTGCTGATCAACTTACACTATCCAAAGGAACCATAACAGATGAAGTGCTCAAAGCTGCTTAGAGTGGTAACTGCCTTCATCTCTCAGAGAAGACAATGGGATTGGAGGACACCAAGTACCTCTCATCAATCTGGCGCCAGCGGCTGCACGTAATTTCAGCTGGCGATCATTTCAGAGTAATCATCTCTGCTTTCCAGGTGGAGAAAAAAAAAAGAAACAACCACTTGGATGCTTTGAGGAAGGTGAAATACAGAGTCTGAAGAACAAACCAAATACAAACAACCTAAAGAAAGTATTGTTTTAGAAGCGCAATCCAAACAATATGTTATTTCCTACCTATTCCTGTTTTTAGATTCCTACTAATTTGGGGGGGGGGGGGTAGGGTGGGGAGAATCCTTTCAGATAAATTTGACAGATGAAGTGCTCAAAGCTGCTTAGAGTGGTAACTGCCTTCGTCTCTCAGAGAAGACAATGGGATTGGAGGACACCAAGTACCTCTCATCAATCTGGCGCCAGCGGCTGCACGTAATTTCAGCTGGCGATCATTTCAGAGTAATCATCTCTGCTTTCCAGGTGGAGAAAAAAAAAAGAAATAACCACTTGGATGCTTTGAGGAAGGTGAAATACAGAGTCTGAAGAACAAACCAAATACAAACAAGCTAAAGAAAATATTGTTTTAGAAGCACAATCCAAACAATATGCTTTGTTATTTCATACCTATTCCTGTTTTTAGATTCCTACTAATTTTTTGGGGGGGGGAGTGGGGGTGGAGAATCCTTTCAGATTAATTTGGTTCTGTTCTCTTTCCCATCCCACTTTCCCATCCCCCTTGTACTATTTCTACAATATACTGGAACACAGGATAAAACAGGCAAGAGACACACACAGCTCTCATATTTTAAGAAATGATGGTGTTTGGTGCTGTTGTTTTTAACAGCAATGCACTTCCCCACAACGACTTTTCCTAGCAACCACTACACAGTATAGAAGCTAGACTGGATGTAGGGATTTGTTGAATATTTATTAGCACAGGAGTGGGAAAGGAAGAGTCTGATTACTTAAATAGGTTACAGAAACACAGGCATGTCTGCACTCCCTCTTGTTCCTCTCACCATTTTCTTGAGCAAAAGAAGTGGGAGAAAGAAGAGGGGACTAAAGGCAAAGGGTATGGCTTGCAATAACTAGCTAGGTGACGGGCCTCAGCACAACAGCAGCAGACAGAAACAAAAGATACCACCTCCTGGTTTGGCGGGGAGGGGAGGGGAAAGGGTGGGCTTTTACTGCTCCTGGAAAAGAAGTAATTTTTCTTCTGGCACAACCACTGAAATAAAAACACATTTGGAAACCACAGCTGCAAGGTCTTTGTTCCCAGCAGCAATGAAAGGAACGGGCACCCCCTACCGCCACTGGTTCTGGATACATGAACTGTTGACACCTCACTGCCCACACAAGGTCAGTGCTCATGTTCCCGGATTTACTAGGCACCTCCCTCATCTTTTTTAAAAGACCTCTGCCTTGCAGTAATGAAGCTTATGCCCTCTCTGAATGAGGGATGTCCTTAATGTACAAGGGGGAGGAGTGGAAGAACTTATATGTTTGGACTTACATGTTTTTGGTTTTATTGTGAACTTATGTTTGGACATGTATGTTTTTGGTTTTATTGTTTTTAACATGTAAAGTGCCCAGAGTAGACCTTGAGTAGACCCTGAGTAGATGGGCAGGATAGAAATGTAATAATAAATAAAAATAAATAAAGAATATCTGGGCAAGGGTGCCTCTGGATAGGAACAAGCTATAGATGATCACAGAAATATGTGGATGAGGAAAAAGAGCGTGTCCACACAGTGAGTGTTTGGTATATGCACATTGCATTCAGAACAAGGTAAAGTTTAATTGTTACATCTTCTGCGTTGGCCAAATATTCCTAATCCCAGATGTTTCACTCCCATCAACCTTCGTGGGATTTAAAAGAGGGTTGTTACTGGTGAAAACTATACTATGGCAGTCAAACACACACACACTTACCAACCAGTGAGCCCAATTGAACTCAATAGTTTTTAACTTTGAGTAGACATGCAGGAGGAGAGCTTGTGTGGCACAGCAGATACCGTGTCAGACTAGGATTCAGAAAACCCAGATTTGAATCCCTGTTTAATCATGGAAACTCATTTGGGACTGACAATGGTAAGTCACTCCTTGAACAGCTTGTGTACGTCAAAAACTTCATTAGGGTCACCATAATAAAGGTGACCTGGTGGCATATAACAACAATGGAAATGCAGGAAATTGTGCAGTTAATCAGTAAATTGCACAAGAGCAGAACAATCCTACACAGGTCTACTCAGGCATATATTCAGTGGAACTTGCTTCTAAATGTGTATAGATCTGAGTCTGAATAGAACAAGCTTATTCATGCCTTCTCAGAGCTAATTTTCACTGAATTCAATGAGGCTGATCCCTAGGGTACTACAAGAAGCACTGCACCCCAAAAATATGTAGCATACGAAACCTAGCTCTGAAAACAGGCTGGCGTAAATTAAGTCCTGGAACCTGGTTTAAAGTCCCCGCTTGTCCACCAAACTTGCTAGCTGGCCTTTAGGCTCTTTTCTTTTCTTTCCCTCTTGCTTCCGGGATTTCTTGGAAGGATCAGAAGAGATGTGGCTAAACTGTAGCCTGTCCTGATTCCTTAGGTTTGGGCAGGAAAGAAATGAAATGTGGACGAAACCAGGCTACCAGGAAAGAGTCAGAGCGGCGGACGGCTTGTGTGGGCGCCGGTGGAGATACCAGACAAGGAGGTCCTCATCTGCCGATGTCTACAACCCGAGAAGAAGTCCCATTAAATCCAGGGGCGCTTCTTGGAAAGAAGCACGTCCGAAAGTGAGCGGCGTGCCTGTGCGTCTGAACAACGGAGAGAGCGAGAGCGAGAAGGAAAACTGTGCATTCAGAAACGATGTGTTTGGTGTGTGTGTGTATATATATATATGTTTGGTAAATAATCCTAATACTCCGTGAGTGACAGCGAAGCAAAGATGGGGCTGGTGATGGAGCTGGTAGGCATAGATGGGGAGGTGTGGAGACAGGAGAGACAGACGGGTATTGTCAAAAGCGTGCATGTGGTGAGCCCAGATGGGAGCCTGTAAGGGGTGGGGTGGGGTGGTGGGGGAGAGAACAGAGCGAGATGGCGAGAGAGGATGCTCGCGGCGCAGGCAAGCAGGAGCGCATGGGAGCACTCCGTCCGCGCACCGCCCAGCCCAGCCCAGCCGCTTACCTGAGCAGTTGCTGCCCGCTTTCCCTTTGCCGGCGCAATCGGTGGCGGGCGCGGCCGGCGAGAGCGGGTTGGAGGTCCGGGCAGGGGCCAGAGCGCAGAGAGCCACCGCGAGCGTCAGGATCACGGCGCTTCTGCAGCCGGGCGAGGGCCGGGGCCGGGCGGTGGCCGCCATCGCGT